AGAGACGGCAACAAACCGATGGCCAATTTCTTGACTGGATGTGTTAAGGTAGGACGTCTTGGTGGACTTGCCGTTAATGATTGAGTCTCTCATGCGGTGCTTGTGGCTTGTATTTTTACAAGGAGTCGGTTTGTCTTGTTTGTTTTTTACTATTTATAGAAGCTCTTTATTTTTGTAATGTACTGTCAATGAATGGAATCTAAGATGATCTGTGCATGTATGGATATAAAAGGATAGCTGCAAAGTTATTTTTTAAATTTCATTTTGCTGGATATTAAAGGAAGCATATGTATATATATGTTCAAATTTGATGAACGCTAAAGAAGGGACCTTATAGATATATAATATAGGAAGCTAACACAAATGCGTGTAACTGCATATTGTAACATACATATGTCAATGTTTCATTTAGGGTATTAAAAAAAACACCTGCATTTTAGTACTAAGTAGAAATTTCAGTACTTCGTAGCTGGTATGATGGTGGTCAATGCAATTTCAAAGTTAAGAAATGCATGTTTTAAAATATGTTCAAATGTCTTTCAGGATCTCAGGGTGGGCAACTCTGCGCAGTCTATTTCAAAGTTAAGAAATGCATGTTTTAAAATATGTTCAAATGTCTTTCAGGATCTCAGGGTGGGCAACTCTGCGCAGTCTTCTCTCCAGAATCCTATAGAACCTGCTGTTGACCAAGGCTGCACGGAGAGCCCTGTGTGTACTTCTAGTGTGTGTGGTGTTGGTCAGTGTGTTGATGAGTGGAACAATCACATCTGTCTGTGCCCTGCAGGTCAGTCTAATGTGTGTGGAGTTCGTCAGTCTAATGTGTGAGGTGTTGATCAGTATCTTTACCCTCCAGGAACTTTGTGTACATGAGTTGCCTCCAGTCATCAAGCATTGAGTCTATTGATCATACCTGTACTTGATATAGTATTATTGTGACTATACACTTGTGTTTTGATGTAGTATTATTGTGACTATAAACTTGTATTTTAGAAACTTTCATCTTTCAATTAAATTGACCAAACAAAATTGTATCGTATTCACAATACAAATACACACCCTAAAATGCTTTAAATTATCTCAGAAAGGTGAAAAGTTCAAACTTTTAGAAAAATGAGTCTTTTAATGTTGATAATATTTTTCAATATTTTAGGAAACACTGGCCCCCAGTGTCTGGAGATATGCACGAATTTCAACCCATGTAAAAACTGGGCTGAATGCAAACAGCCATTGCAGGGATAAAACACATACACCTGCGAATGTGGTATGCGGCAAAGTGGGAAGTACTGTGAGAATCAGGCACCTGTGACCTGTCCGGCAAGCTGGTGGGGTAAACCCATCTGTGGACCTTGTAACTGTAAGGCGGATAAAGGATTTGAACAGACATGTAACAAAGACAATGGGACATGTGCCTGTAAGGTGAGATTAGGTGTGAATATCTGGGACATTTGTGACAGCATATTTGCTGCTGTGGTCAAGACTACCAAGAAAGTCAATGACACGGCCTACCAGGATGTGGTGACTTGTGTTGGTGAGTTCATACATTTTTAGTTATATACAATTGTTGCTGCATAATATTATGTTATTGAGCGAAAGGGTTACGCCACTATATGAAATGTTATTGAGGTTGCGGGCTACACCATTAAATAGTGTATTTTAATTAGGGTACAGGCTATGCCAATAAATAATGTATGTTATTGAGGGTAAGGGTTACACCATTAAATAATGTGTGCTATTGTGTGTCTATGATTGATGTAAAAATATATTAAATTGTTTTTAATTCTTAATGTACCAAACTAATGTTGAGTAATGCTATATGTCGATCTCAAATGTAGTCTTACACCTCCCTTAGATTACGAAATAAACTAAACATTATGTATTAATGTGCACTGAAGAGGTTAAAATATTTTTTTGGTTTGTGTGATGTTTGATATGCTTACATTTCTTTTTTCATGAACAGTTTTTTATGAAGAGCGTCCTAGAAATTATGCAGGAGGAATGTGGTGGGACCAGATCAGGTTTGGATAAGAAGCCCAACAAGACTATCCAGAAGGGGCCACTGGTCAGTCAATAAATAGCTGATCATTATAACTTGTTTTAAGTTTTTTTCCTTTCATTTAACTGAACCAAGGTCAGTTTGACATGATCAAGTTTGACATAATAACATAAACTTTTCTTTTAACTGTTGTGCTTTTTTAATAAAGTTTGAAAACTTAACAAATGTTTACATTTGATAAATGATTTATTGTCCAAAAAAGCTTAAATATTTATTCCAAAAAAAAAAGTGGAAGACACTTTGGAAATTACTTTTAGCTTTACCTACACAAGTTGACAATATTCAAGTTGTACAATGACCCCCTTAAAACTTATCAATTAATTTGGGGGGGGGGGGGGGG